AGACTGCAACGAGCTGCAAGAACTGCCAGGAAAAATTATCCAGCTGGAGAGCTTGAACTGGACTCTGCAGTGGGAAACCAGTGTAAAAACCAGGACAATGGGTTCCCAACCCAACCTGTGGCTGCAAGAACAGTAATGGCTTATAATTTCACAGGGTGCTTGCTTTAATTTTAGCAGGAATTTGTCCTTGCAATGAACCGAAAAGGGATCTATGAACCACGGTCTATTAAGGTCTAGGCTCAGACGTTTCAACATTTAAGTTTAGAGGTTCTGTGTGATCAGGCTGATTTCTTCCAGTGCAAGACCCACAGGATTACTCACAATCTTCTCATCAGCTACGGGTGGAAACAAGCACTTTCCTACTCAATGTAGACTAACCCAAAGTCCAAAGTGAGCCACACCATTTGAAGATGTTTTTAGACCAGATCTGAAGAACAGCTGTTGTCAATAAATGCAGTTGTTTTGAAGGGAAATAAGTTCATAGTGCTTGTCTCTGACACCCAAGATGTATCCTATGTTTTCAACCTTCAACCAACTGCACATTACTCCAGCACTGCTTCAAGCCATGGAGAAAGCCAGTGCTTTCCTCTTTCTTTTGACTGACATCTGTAGTCCTTCTTTGTGCTTCAGCCCAATGATTGTTCATCCAAGAGCCCTGATAACTTGTCCCAGAGAAACCTCTCTGCCCTTTTGCGCCAGCGGCAGTATTCAGAGGTTTTAATGTGTGAAAATAAGGTGAGTTGGTATCCTTCTGAATGAAGCTGGTTTAAATATTGCAGTTAAATGTACTGGGATTTTCTAAGGATTATTCAGCAGTTCTTTATAAAAAACCTTAAAAATACCTCTAGAGGAGAGCCTGCCTGCTGTGCAAGTCATGCAGAAGGCAGGTACATCTAGAGCACGTAGGGTCCAATCGCTACCCACGCACCAAACCATTTTCCTGGTTAGTCATCCTTTCCTACCCTCCTTCTCAGTGCAAACATTGCTTTCCTAGCACTCATGAAACTCACCCCCGGTGCCGGCCTTACGTAAGTGATTTCGACATGGAGAGCTGTGCCACGAATGCAGTGGACACGTGATGCTCCACTCAGCCTCTGCATGCCACCCTGCATGTCAGCACGGCCTCCTGTGTGGCTCTTTGGGACTTCCATGCAGGCCTTTGTCCCTTACAGCAGCCCAGGGCTCTTACACACCCTACAAGGGTTTCAGCTTCTTCCTGGGTTGTCCTCATCACCTGCAACTCTTCCAGTCCCATAAGCACAGCACCCACTGAACATATTCACCCCTGGCCCTCACACAGAACCAGCATTTCATGTATCCATGTACCTATCATCAAGGTCTCTATGGACTTACCTGTGCCCTTGCACTGAACTCCCAATCTGCTCTCCTGGTGCACTGCATGCACCTAGGGCCCCTTGCACACCTAGCCTCCCTCACAGCAAGAGGCAGATAACAACAAATGGCTTAAGTCATCATAAACTTTTTCTCACTCTTCATCACTCTTCCTTCCTTCCTTCCCAGGCCCCACACCTAGGCCTGCAACCCTCATCTGCACTTCCCTCATTTTCTTCAAGCATGCTGTGTGCACAAATGTCTCTCATCAGACACAACTTTTCCCTCCCTTCACCTTCCCTTGCACAGCCCTTGCATGGAGGCACAGCCTGACAGGTCCCTTCCTCACTCCCACACCACTGTGTGCCAACCCACGATGAGCTCCTCGCTCCTTGTAACAGGAACTGTCATTCCCATCCACTTCTACCTCCTGCCCCACATATCCCACCTGCACTTGCCTCCCCACACACTTCACACTTTACTTTTGACCGTAGCAGTCATGTGGCTTATTCGGCCCTCCAGGTAATTTCTCCTCCCATTCCTTCTCCTACCACTTTATATCTTTAGTAATTTCTCCACCAGCACATTTGTTCCATTCCCTCTTGCTGTTTCACTCATCCAGTACCTACCACAGAGACATAAACAAATTTGTTACGTCTGTTGCAACAGAAAATCGCTCCTTTTTGTTTATGTTCTCCTCCTCCCACAGTCTTCCCATTATTCCTCACTTGCTGTTCCTTGCCCCAACTGTTTCCCCTGTAACTCACTGCCTGTTTTTCCCTGTGCTGCTCCTACTCCCCAGTAAAGAGGCATCCCCTGTTCTGCTGAGAAAAACACTCCATCTTTGCACCACTCCCTTTCTTTGCCTACTAAGAAACATACCCCCAAATTTCCCTTCACTCTCTGCTCTCTCACCCTGTATCTCCTCTAAATCACCTCTTTCCTAGGCATTACAGAAAACATAGCTCTTCATTTCATCCCCATTCATGCCTCCTACATTCCTTCATTTTTCCTCATTCGTGTACTTCTCAACACCTGCCATGGCTTTATATCCTTGTTGCAGTTCATCCTGCCCCTGTGATTTCCACTCTCTTGCATTTCCTTACACCACTTCTTCATGGCTTTTCCTGCAGTTCTGTCTCTCCCTTGCAGGCAGGCAGCACACTCCAGCAGGTTTCCAGCCTCCTCTTAAATATCTCTAATCAGTTACCCCTTCACATACTTACAGAATCCTTTTCCCCTCACCACATCCTAACTCCATCCTGCTCATTTTCCCCTCTGCATTCCTGTTCTCAGCACATGTTTCCATCACCATTCAAGCCTTGCCTTTCATACTGTGATACCTTCCTTGTAAATACATCTGTGTATCTATTTCTTGACGAATCAAAGGTGTCTCCTTTTGAGGCCCCCCACAAGCATCATGTAGCTGATTATTTTCCATACCTTTCTCCAAATAGCTAATAGTCCACATTTTAACTCCTCCTCCAAACATCCTATGTGCTTTCACCTTTCTCCCTCCACTCCCACTCCATGCCCAACCTCCCCCTTGCAGACCATCCTACCATCCTTGTATGTCCCTTTCATATCCTCACTCAGCCTCCAGCCTGTACCTTTTCCCATCCCTCTCGAGTGTTACTTCCTCTTGCAAGCTCCTAAACTTTCTGCCACCCACAAGGATCCTCTTTTTCCAGTTGATGTGCAGCAATTTCCCTTTCAAGCCGACCACCTTAGCATGTCTCACCTGCTGTTATTACCCCAGTGCACAACAATGAGCATGTAGGACTTTATTTCTGCTGTATAACACCTTCCCTCCAGTTTTTATCTACCTTTATAAGCACCATCTCATTTTTTGTTCCCTGAAGATAAAAACACCCCAACCCACAGCAGAACAATACCAACAAAATCCCTTAAACCTATGTGTTTTGCATAACTCAACATGTAGCACCCTGCTACACAATGCATTACCCTCCTGACTCTGCTGGTGCCTCCTTTTCTCCCCATGTTTTGGCTCTACTACCTGCAATCATTCCTGGATTTTGTCCCCGCACTGTGCTCACACACAGAGACCCTGGTATTTACACGTGTATCTCAGACCAGTCTTTTTACTGGGGCCATGCTGAACTCTTCCATTATTTGCTGCTTTTGTCTGGCAAGGCTTTTTTTTTGCTTTTTTTTTTTTTTCTTTTTTGCTTTTTTTTTTCTTTTTTACTATTAAATTTCCCTTTTCCTTGCATCCCATTTATAGGCGCTTCTCGTGCTGGTTCTCCACATGCAAGCTTGCACATATCAGGTATTTTTGTGCCTGAGAATGCCTCTCTTACTTGTCTGGATATTTTCCTGAAGGCACAATGCAAAAGCAAAACTTTACATACCATTTGCACTCCTCATGCAACAAATCACATGAGCCTGAGAGCAAAGAATGTTTTTTGAAAGGTTGTAGCTCACAACGATTGTCTGGACCAAATAACACATATCCCTGTCTATTTAAAAAGGGGGAAGGGGGAGAAGCAACTCCCCTCACACACACACACACACTCGCGCACACACACACACACACGCGCATACACACACAGAGTCATCTCTAAATAACTGGTTTTGCAATATAGGAACCAGAGAATGCACGCATAGCAGCCCTATTCAATCCAAAATATCCATCTCTCCAAATACTGCATATTTATAGTTCGAGAGATAGGACCAGCACAGAGCTTTCCCGTTTATTTTGATGAAGGATTAAGAACTGATCAGAAAACTATCTAAACCATCCAAGGACTTTTTCCCCCCTTGGCTAAGAGCAGTTTGGTGTCTCCATAAGGACTCGCCAGTAACCGATGCTTTAAGCTGCATTTCAGCTGTTTAGATGAGAAACAGCTTTCTATTTTGCTCTCTAGATGTGCATCTCTGTTGATTAGTTGTGTGCTGCATTCCTAGAAGGCACTCACCAAGTGCTGGGAGCTGCAACATAAGACTAGTTTCCCTGCCATTCCAGCACAGAGCAAGTGTATCTTTTTCACCTAGACACAGATGTGCAGAGAATCTTTTGATCTCCAGCTCTTCCCAGAGAATTTGGTGTTTGGGTTTGGGAAGAATGAGGATTGATTCAAAGGTCGTGAACAGGGTTTTCAGTGTCTGGCACACACACAAAATATAAAAGCTCCAGTGAAACTGGTTACCTGCAGCAGGCGAGGTCTAGAAATTGGGAATTTTGGCTTTGCTTGTCAGGGGCTCTAACTTTGCCAGAGGGCGAGCGTGCTACGCTATGTGTGGTGAAGCTGGTTCTTGCAATCCACGGTCAAGACTTTCAACCCCTTTTGTTATATCTGAACTTGCTGGTTTCCCTCTTAAGACAAAACAAAAAGTCTCCTTTGCTTTTACCTCTTAAATCATATTTCCTGTAGCACCTCATATTTCTCCTCTACCACTTTCTTTTCAGAGACCCGAACAACAGCGTGAGGAGCAGGAGGAGAGGGGAACCTCAAGACTGAAGCAAACTATACGGCAAGTAGGGGTGAGGGAAGGAGGAGGCACAATGGGAAAGGCAACATTTGGGACACGTCTACTGCTTTCAAGACCCCCACCTCCTCCCCATTATACTTCTTTAAAGGACCCCTCTCCCCCCTCCCCTCCCTGCCCTCTTAGGACCCTATTAGAAAACGTCAAATTTCCCTTACCGTGGTAGGAGTAACCATGGCATCCGTGTGAATGTTTCCAGAAAAGTCGACATGAAGAGAAAGGTGGATGTAAATACGTTCATTCAAAGTCTCAAAGTTGGTCTGCTTGGGTTGTGCAGAGTTGCTCTATGGGAGAGGAGCCTTAAACTCTGAGTCCCGTGAACATAATCTGCTCGATTATAACAAACCAGCTCAGCCAGATGGCTCTGTGCTTTGTGGATTAACCCCTTTATTGCCACACTCTGCTTTCCCTACCATTTTTAACAACCTTGCCTGGCTGGGGAAATTCAGAGAATGAGGAATTTTTTTGAAAATGACAAAACCGTTGTAAAGATCATTTTTCCCCCGTGTGCTCTAAAAAAAAAAAACAAAAACACCATCCTGTGCCTATTTTTTTTAAAAATCCAATCAATGGTTTTATTCCTCTTCCTGGCAAAACCTCTTCATATTATTAAGAACACTATTAGCACCAGGGAACATTTTAGAGAATTCTTTTGTTAAATCACCACCATCCCTTCCAGACTGCGATTCTCAGCAGACAAGTATTTTATTGCAGGAATGTCTCTGTGTTTGCACTCTAATGGTCCATCCACTCCCCACTTCCCGCCCCTCTGTCCCCCACGCTCCCTCTGTCTCCCACATGCACACACTTTGCTCACACTGCCAGCATGTGCTGCTATTCCTACCCCTGTTCATAAGTCACTACAGGACATGTCAAACAGGTGAAACAGACATACAGACCTACAGTGCCAGAAGCCCTTGCTCTCCCATTCTGACTTCTCTATTAATTTTTTTTTTCCAATTATTTGCAAGTCTTTGACAAATTTATTTCTTTGGTCACCATTTTCTGTCAAGGAAGTCACCCACCCTGACACAAAAATAAGTGCTGGGAGAAAACACCCACTGTTAAGAACAGACTTTAGGCTAGATTTGTGTACAGTTCCTCCTGTTTTGACTCGCAGATTCATCCATTAAGGATAGCAAGTGCCAAAAACATGGAAAGATCATCAGCAACCAGCAGCGACTGGTTCCCAAACTTTTTATTTAGAGAGATCGCTCACAGAGATGGCTGATAAATTTAGCTGCATGCCTCTAAGTCTCCCTCTAAATTTACATGCTTAAGTCATCTTTCTTTTCTGTTTGATTTGAGCATAATTGAGCAAGTCATAACCATAAGAATGTGGTCATATAAGATATGAGGTGACACTTTAAATCATAAGGGTCACCAGATTGTTTCCTTAAAGAATACTTTTACTAGCTCATTAAGTTTTTTCTTTTCTTGTTTAACCATAGATTTTTTCTCTTTTTCCTCCCTGTGTAAAGATAATTAGCCCTCTCTTGCTGTCAAAGCTTTGTACCATCTCCTTTAAGACATTTTAATCTACCTGGAAAGTTTTTACAGTTTTATTGAAATATTTACCACCATAGATTGAAATACAGATGGTGTCATTAGTTGCAGTTGTCCTGTCTCTGAATTTTTTTAAGCATAAAATGGTCCCATTTAGGGTATTTTGCCATTTAAATGGTCCTGTTGAAGGGATTCCACAATTTGTATCTGTCTCATAAGTTCTGCCTGAGTCTTTTGTTGCCCAAATGGGAGAACAAAAGTCATCTCCCACCACTGCCTCCTAGGAATTCTGTACTAAAACTTGCTGCTCTGCCAATCAAAAAAAACCAAACCAAAACAAAACAAAAAAACCACCCTTCTCAAACTTGAATAACTCTAGTTCCAATAGTTTGTGTCTCACCCTGTTCCTGAATGCTGTTTCCATCTGATTTAGAGCTTTGTCAGCTAAGATGAGGGAACTCAAATTAAATCCTGTGCATCCCCCACCCAGCCCAGGCACTGTAGTCATATCTGAGAAATGCCTAAAATGTGACTCAGCTTTTAATCTCCTGAAGTAGACAAACAGTGCTAGGAATAGAAAATTTTCCTGTGGCTGGTGAATGAATGTTCCTCTGGAGGTAGGCAAAGGGTTAAGCCTCTGAAGGCAGCCCTAGCCCGGGAACTTCACATTTGCAGCAAGGAAAAAAAAAAAAAATAAAGAAAAAAAAGCAGCAAAAGAAGAAGTCAAGAAGCAAAAGACCTGGGCAGAGGGGCTGCCTACCTCTGATGGGAGGCACACCTCCCAGAGCTTGCACGAATGGAGGGGTTGTGCCCTGTGTCTGGGTCTGTGGGCAATCAGATGCCTTGTAATTTGAGATGTGACACCTTAATCTCACCAAATATGTGTGCACTGCAAAAAGCATTGTAGACAGCCTGTTTTCACAGCCAGGGAAAATGGAGACATGTTTGGTCCTCGCTATTTTCCAGCCTTTCCCCTACAGATGTTTCTGGAGCTGCTTCTTTCTAGGTATTTCTGCATCTTCTGTTGTTATTCTGGGGGTGGGGAGGTTTTTTCCCTCATGCTAACCCTTAGCAGAAGTGCCTTTCTTTGACACTTTAAGCAGCTTTTTTAATTTTTAATGAGAAGCGATCCAGCTCCCAAATGGTTATCTTATTTTATCTGTCGCCCTTGGATCTGAGGTTCTGACATGGGGAAAAAAAAAAAAAAAAAGTTAAAAAAAAAAATATAAAGTATTTCTTTGAACAAGTCCCTGCTCTGTCTTGAAGAATCTGAAACATTGCTCAAAGCTTGCTGGAGAAAGTCATCTTTGAGTTCTGGGGATTTTAGTTGGGATAATTACAAGGCATTGATCTAATTAATTAGGCACTTGACCAGACTTCAAAACATGTGATATTTTATATACTTTGAAGACACGTATTTTTCTCTACATATTAACAGATACCTCTGTGACTTCGTTTGATGATAAAAAATTGAATATTTATAGGGAAGATATGTGTGTGAGTATGCAAATACATGAAAATTTTATTGGGTTTAATGCATGCCTTGGGTCATTCTAAAAACAGGGAGCATGTTCTGTAATGATTAGCTTTTGCAACAGCACCGCTTTGTGGTTGAAATCCCAAACAGAGCCCAGAAAGGGACTGTAGGGGCACCACATGTGCCTCAGCAAGTCTGAGCAGTTCCCGTGGTGGTTGGTTTTAATATCCAGTGACAAATGCACTTACCTGAGATGGAAATGTGTTCCAGCCATATGGTCCTCTCTTTTTAAGATGGTGGGTTTGAAGTACAGGCAAGGAAGAAGAAGTGGGAGCAGAAGATTAGCTCTGAGAATTTTGACCAACCGGTATCTTCAGTACAGAAGGCTGTTCACCCTACAAATGCCAAAATCACTTTTGTTCGTATTTCCAGAATTTTATAAAGGGCCTGACAACATCTCCAGAATTTATTTTTTTTTTCTTGAAATGTGCTGCAAATGTTTTGTTGGAAGTAAAAAGGAACCCAACTGTGTTTTTATTTGGTGGGAATTGTGGTGGAAAAGAATTGAAATTATTTATTTAAACATAATTTTTAAATATTGTTTTAAGAATGCCAATGGTACCATTTCATAGCTGAAGGAATTTCTGAAACCTCATTGGCATCCTCACTTGCACCCAGGCTAGGCAAATGAGAAGGATTAGAAAGAAATTCCAAGCAAGATTCAAACAAACAAACAAACAAACAAAGAACTTCAAACTTGGTTTTGTTACACATTTCTTGGAAAGTTGTCTTCTGCAGCTTTTCTTCTTCCTTAAAAATAATTGGGACAGCTCATAACAATTAACATGGTGGGTCAAAGATGACACAGTGTAAAATGTGTACTCAGAACTGTATGTGCATGCTGAGAGGGAGGATGGGAATAATGCACGTAAATAAGCAGGAATTCTGGTCACACTCTGAAAGACATTACTCTTCAGAGCTTTTCCTCAAAGAAAGGCATTTTACAGAGACAGCTTTTATGCAGCTCACCTTCAAACCTATTTCCTTGACAGAGAATTAGAAAAGTGAGATTAAATGAAATTATAATAGTATTAATTAAAATAACATCCAGATGCATTAAAATGCACCTAGTAAGTACAACTACAATTGCTTTCTTGCATGAAAGATTTCACACATACACAAAACACTCCAGTGCTCAGACCAAAATTTTAATTGTTTTACAAATATTTTTCATTTCAAAAGAAATGTATTGATCTGTACTCCTATATCAAAATAAAGCTATATATTAGGTGATATACAAAAGGGAATTTGCACTCTTCAATATGTAGGTGTGTTTTGTCAATAGAGTTATGGATGATTACAAATCTCTCCAATGTACTAATGTGTTACATCCCTTATCAGCTTAACTCATATTTTGGATTTATGTAATATTTGTCTTTTTCTGATGGTATCCATTTTTTTCAAAGATGGTCTTTATTGCAGCAATAATCCAGAAACAAGGTTAATTGATGATAGGCAACATTTTGGGAAAGAAAATCTATTCCTTGTAATTATAAGCATACTTTGAACCCCTACTCATTTGTTATAATTCCAAATTAGCTGAAAAGAATTTGCATGACTATCAGTAAGAAAAATGCTAAGGAAAAAATATCAAATTAAAACCATGTGAAGAAGTTTGGTTCCATTACTTATGCTAAAACTGTGAAAAGTTTTTAATGATGAAGGAGATTTGGAGTCACAACACCATTCTTTTGTGAGGAAGATAAATTCCACACTGGGACACATAAAAAGATATATAAGGTGCTTGGTAAGTTGTCAGCTGGGATGCTGGGACTCAGTTCTGACCATGTTCAAGTCAGAGAAGACCTGGGAAATGACAGAAGCAATGATTAAATGTGTAGTTTAAAATATGATGAAAAACCCCAACAGAGTTAAGGAATCAGGACTCACAAGCCTGTAATTGACCCTGGCTAGGGCAAGGGAAGGTCTAGGTGGTCTCTCTCCCCCCATCTCTCCCATGACTATGTGACTTACACCATCACAGAAAGCAAAAATGTTCAGGAACATCTTGTACTCAGGACTCTGGCATAGCTCTTGAAGAAAACTTCCCAGTGAAATCTTTCAGGAAGTTTCCACTACATATTCATATGACTTGGTTTGGGACACTAAATGTCTTTATAATGGGGAAATTTTTCCACAGAGAGGTAAACCTGTACTGGTTTTCCCTCCTGGACTGGTGCTTCTGCATCTTTCAGGTGCAGTGGAATTGTAATAGCTGGAGCAAGTTGAAAGAGGATGAAAAAAAGGACAACAAATTAATATTTTT